AGTGACCAAATTTTTTTTCACCTAGAAGGTAATTAACATCTGGACTGGGTCGCTCGGAATAGAAAATGAGGCCTGGAAGTTGCACTCAACTAAAAAAAAACTCTGTGATGGGAGGGCAGTAGGATGGGTGCTTTGGAAGGATGAACTCAAAGGGCCTTCTTCAATTTTGTGTTGCATATTATTTATGTATCAAATTGGGAAGCAGGCTGGTGAGTATATTCACCATTACTCTCGCTCCTTCTCCCATTGGCTAACAGCACTGGAATAAGTCAATTAATAATATAATAATTGGTATAGCCTCTTGTCTCAAAGTGCTTCACAGGATATATTGTGAAGTATTGTGACTGGGGAATTTTGTAGGTGAAAGCAGTAAACCAATCGGCGCACAGCAATGTACCACAAACAGCCATGAAGAATTGGTCACGGGGCTGGGAAATTAAATGTTGCCTTGTAAACCATTGCCAGAATCTGTTCAGGTTCTTCAGAAATTATGCACACATGCACGCACACACACACACATGCACTCACACAAACACTCGCACACACACACACAAAGAGAATTTCTTCCAGCAACAGCGTTTAGAATTCAAAAGTGTGTGTTTCTGTTCTAAAATTTGATTTGGTGACTACATCTGAGAAATATGCATGTGCTGAATTAGACAGCAGAACGACTATTGACGTTGATTGTAGTCTGTGTAAGAATGAATATGTCTTGCAAGAGGAAAATCGAAGCAATGTTCGATCTTATAAATATTTCAGAAGCTTTAGGAAGAAACGGCATAGAATTCTATAGGCATTTCAAAGCTCTCTCTGTGTACCTCCATACATTTAGCATTATCCTAAAGTCTAGATCAGATACTGAGGTAGTGACGCAGTATATCAGTTTACTGGTGCATTGCGGTACTCAGTGTAAATCACCATGCACTGAGCAACAGATATTCGTTGTGTCATATGGGAGAGGCATGAGGACACACGGTTCTCCGCGTGGGTGTGTGTGTGTGTTTGTGGAGAGGGTGTGGTGGGAGTGCAGAGGAAAAGGTGTGCCCTTTAAATTAATTAATCTTTGCATTTGATATAGCGCTTTTCACGTCGGGAGGACGTCCCAAAGCGCTTCACAGAACACACAGTAAAGTGAATTGACTGTATATTTGTGGGCGAACGCGGCAGCCAATTGGGCACAGCAATGTCCCACAGACAGTCGTAGATTGAAAATGACCAATTTTTTTTATTATTGTTTTTGGATTGTGGAGTAAGGAAACTTGCCCAAGGTTCGGCCCTGACCTGCCTGGAATTGAACTCAGGTCTCTCGCTTGCAAAGCGAGTGCTCTAACCACTGAGCTACAGGACACTTTCTGGAATTGGGGAGATAGGATGCATCTCTCCAGGGAGAGAGTGCGCATTCCATTCCAACAATCTATCTCCGGAATTTCCATATGTAGGTGGGATGCAGGGAATTCTCAGCTTGGTTTGCTTTGGATACTCTTAAGTATGTGATGGGTTTCCCGGTTGACTTAAAAAAAAGTACAACCTAGTTGGTTCTAAACCTGGAGGTGTGCAAGCAGTTAATCTGAACACGGGCATTGACACAATTGTAAAAGATACTTCCACATCCATAATAAATGTAAATGGTGCTTGAAGTGTGGAAATATTAATGGAATGATCCTAGGACCATAAACCCTTATTGTGTTTGGAAGAAATAAGTGGCATACACAGCCAGAAATGCTGCATTGGGAGTACAGTGATTTAATTGATTGGCTTTACCTTTACAGTAACAAAAAGTGAACTGAACTCTGAAACCGTTTCATACAGTTGAATTGTGAAATTATTCAAATTCCTTAACTAACGAGAAGTATTCTGCACCGTAAACACCCCCGAGCTTTTAATTTTGTTTTTTGGGTACGGTATTATAATATTCACTGACTGCTTTGCTTCTTAACAGGGGAGCGTATAGCCATGAAATTATAATATTTGCCAAAATGATAAACGGTAATTGAATTCAACTGAGATGAGAATCCTATTGAGAATCCTATTATAGTATTTCAGTACACGGGAATTTGGATATAAAGTGCAAAGTCTGCAGCTTTCCTCACTCTGTGCAAGATCTGTGTTCTCATTCGTTTTGTCCCAGGTGGAGAACTGTGGTTCTTTTGCATTCAGATATTCTGATTATATTCCCTGTGATGAATAGTATTTGTACACTCTCTCAAACCAAGTCTAAGATATCAAATACTTAGACCCAGCTTCCTGGGACGCCTTTGTGAATGTCGCTGTGTAAATGCACAAGGAAAGCGAGATATTATTAGTCGTTTTAAATGTATTTTCTCTGCTTTGTCCCTTTGAGCTGTGTGTGTATAACTATTACCGCTCACACTTTTAGGCCGTCACAGAATTAAACCAGAATCCCTACAGTATTTTTAGTCACCGATTGATTCACGTTTTGAAGACTGGAATTCCAGCTTTGGAATCTCCAGCAATTCGGGTTCTGCGTTTGGTGCTAATAGAGATGCAAGGAAACCTAGACAGGAACTGGTAACTGCAAAATCATAAGGATAATAATAATAATAATTATTATAGCGAATATCATAGTGAATTTCCTACATACATAGTGAAAATAATTGATATAGCGGCATCGCCAGTAATGCAGCATTGCGCTGGAGTGTCAGTCGAGACTGTGAGCTCAAATTCCCAATTCAGGGCTTGATCCCACAACCAACTGAGCCAGTTTGACACTTAGAGTAATTCTCCATTGCCAGCCGCTCCACTTGAGTCTCACTTTTGGCTTCGCCCTGGCAGCCTAAAGCAGGTGTAAAGTCCCAGTGTTTGCTGGTTGCACTCTTCGTTGCACTAGTATTTCATCCAAATGGCTATTCGTGTTGTGAGCTTCGACAGGGACTGTAAAGCTACAGAAGAAAATGTCTCTCAGCTGTTGGAAGTGTTTCTGTGCTGCTTAATTCAAACATGTGATCTATCCAGCATCCCATCAGAAAATGCCAGCTCTTAAAGGCTTGACAATGGTTATTTATTTGAACAAGGAGAAGAAGCAGAGCCCCACGTAACGCTACAGATTAGTCTGTAATTGAAAGTCGCATTGATTTAGGAATTCAACATTTTGTTTTATTCAAAGCAATAAATTGTCCAGCAAATTCCTGTACTCGAGAATGTGTCCATTCTTTTTGAAGAAGCATCTTGTTCTGCTGCCTTAGCGAATCTGCAAGTGAAATTCTACCACAAAAACAAGGCAGGGACAGTGTACAAAGAGAAGCAACAAAAGTGTTAAGAACATAAGAACATATCATTGATATACATATTGGAAAAAAAGGGATCCCAGCACCTATCCTGGGGAACACACCTCGTTACCACCAACTGATCAGCTAATGTGCATTTTTACCCTCTTTCTCTTACTTCCCAACCAATTTCCTACCCGAGCAACTAGGTTGCCTCCAATTCCAAGTGCCTTGATTCTAAACAATAATCTATATTTTATTCAGCGCCTTCTGAGAATCAGTGTAAATGGCATTTGCTCACTCTCCTTCATTTACCACCCCTGTGGTTCAGTCACAGTTTAGTCAGACGTGATCTAGCTCTTAGAAGTCCGTAGCGAGACTCCCTGATCAGCACATACCTACCCAAGGGTCAGTGCTCCATCACTACTGACCCATTATTAAAAGCCTTGATGGCTATGTAATAAACATAATGACTTAATTTTACCTTGGTTAGTGAAATATTTACTGTGTCTTTGTGTGCCTTGCATGAATTGCGGTGCAGTACAATTAGCGTTTATGTTACCAAATATTCTATTAAGCTAAGGCAATTTAGGTCTTCACAATAAAATTATAGTAGGCCGTTGAACAATATCGAAGTTTGTATTGTACTGCAATTTGGTTACTGTAGCAGACATAAATAATGCAATATTGTGTTTGAATATTTAACAAACTCTTCAGCTGTACTTTGACTATTAGTAAAACAAATTGTCAGGGAAGTTAGACAAAGGATGCAGTTTTACTTTATTAACATCTTTGAGACTTCAGTGTTAAACTAACTACACATGTCCTGTGGCGTTACACCGTTACATTTGTATTTACACGCTTCCAGTAGACAAAGAGATGCCAATGTTTCATCACAAAGAGATGCCAATGTTTTATTTAGTGATAGAACTCCTGGGTATTTGGGAGAAGTATCATGAGACATCACTCCTCAAAGCCTCTTAATGAGAAATAGCACTTATTATAAGTTTTGTGCACAATGGTAGACAGTGTAAGCACTTGTGGGGATTGAAGACTGTCTACCAAATATTAATGAGGCCAAATAGTCCTTTGCATGGAGAAAGTAGGAGGACAAATTACAAGTAGTAATTTAGAAGCAGCTCATTGCTGGGGACAGGGGATCATTCTGATATTATGTATAAACTTTATGAAACCTGCCACATTCTACATGAAAGATAACTGTTTTGATTAGAGCCAGTGACTTGACCAACATCCAAGGTTACTCCAGTGAGGTCTTCATTGGGGAAATCCTCTGCTATTAGCTCTGAGCTCCGTCTCTGACCGAAAGCTTCAGGAAATTGTTTCCCCTGATACGTTGCTTGTAAGGGTTATAGAAGTGACGTCAGCTTCCCAGATCATTCTGCCAGGGACCAAACCTATTACACAAACCAAATAACTAAGTTTTTATAACCAGAGTTAGTGGATAAAAACTTGGCTCAGGTCCCAAGCTTTGTACAAGGGAAGCAAAGAAAACACTGTGTGCCCATTCCATTTCAAGTCTCAGTTAAGCTTTAGATTTATTATGAGATTTATTTATTATGAGATTTATTATGACATATTTCAAGCAAGAAAACCTCACGTTGAACTGGCCTGCTTAGATACGTTCCATACTACTTGACTGATGCTGGGAATGGTTTCATTGTGGGCTATAGCAGTTTGTTTTCCTTTAAAGACGCATTAATGTACAAACTCCCTCCCTCCCATGCCCTTCGAGCTCACGTCTCTCTTTGTTTTCAGACTGGCCAGCAGCGATGGTGGGAACAAGAAATTTCAATGAATAGTATGATCCAGACCGGAGAGTTAATCACACATAACCTCACTGAACTCTTGAAACCCGAGGCCTATGAAGTTCGTCTGACGCCCATCACCAGGTTTGGAGAAGGAGACTCAACCATTCGAGTCATAAAATACAGTGATGGTAAGAACGACAACAACAACAACAACATTGTGCATTTATATAGGACACTTGACCCGGTTGGACACCAAGCAAGGGAGAAGGGAAGGGGAAAGTGACCATAGTGGGAGCCAGAGGTAGGCTTTAAGGTTGGATTCAATGACATAAAGAAAGGGATAGAGGGAGGGAGTTCCAGTTATTAGGGTCATAGTAACTAAAAGATTATTTGTACAAATACAATATGAGCAAATATGAGATTGCTATTAAGTTCCAAGGAGTTAGAATAATTTCAGTTGTAAGAAATGAGCATCTTTCAGAGATCAGTCAATTGTCAGCAATTATAATCTTACTTTGAGTATTCACAGTGACACTGAGTCACAGCACTGATGTGCATTTTTCATCCCACGCATGACTGGAACAATGCCATCATTATGATCTTGGTTATGTGATCATCTTCACTGTGATACTGTACACTGTACCATGAATTGTATGTCATATTGTATATCTTATAGCGAACATCATATACCGTAAGGTCAGGTTGGATGTATCAGGATTGTTTTACATAGCTCCACATACCAGGATCGTGGTAGAATGCTTTAAAACTACATTTCATTTGATGATCGTGAAATCCCTGTTCAGTCTCCTGAAACGCACACATCTGTGTATTGCATTTGAGAATCTTGTGAAAAGTGTTCCTTGGTTCTAATTTGTATGCATGCAATTGCATTGCATTGCACGCATACAAATTGAAATGATGAAACAACCAGAACCTTTCAGGAATGAATTAAGGTATTTTAATGTTTCTTCTCTCTCTCCCCCTCTCTCTCTCTTGCTGCATTCTCATAGTAAGCACAGTGAAGTCCCATACTTTATGAAACATTTGCAATTAAATATCTGTAAGAATTTTACAGATTGAGGAGGTACAAGTGAATTTCAAGTAGGTCACAAACAAAGTACTTAGCACATTCAAATCAATGCAGATTATCCAAGAGACTGTTACAAATTCTATGCACATTGCACTGTCCTAAATTCTAATGTCTGAAAGTAAGATCGGGTGATAATAATAATCCTTGCATTTGATACAGCCTTATCACTTCTTCGAGACGTCTCAAAGCTCTTCACAGAAGATACTGTAAAGTGAATTGACTGTATATTTTGTGGGCGAAATGCGAATAATCGTGAAATCACAATCCAAATTTCCTATGAATGACAAAGGATTCTTAGTTCAATGTCTTTACAGGATTTCTTCAGAAGCCAAAAGGGTTAAAGGGTAAGTATTGCCCTGCTGGCCACCAGCGTGGCAATGTGATTGTTATATCAATCGGGAACATCTGGAGGATGCTGACATTTCAGAAGCTTCTCTGGGAATTAAGAGCGGCTCCATTAAGTTCGTCATGTAGCCAAGAACCAGTACCCAATTAGTGCATGCAGATGCCCATGTTCTGTGAGAGTTGCTCTGGAAGAATGTCTCAATTTATCTTGCATCAGTCCATGCGTATAAAGCATTGTGATGATAGACTTGTCAGACAAAACAGCACTCAAGGAAGGAACAGTTGACACCAGCACTCAAGCCAGGGTCAACCACCACTTCAAAAGCAGTGCCTGTTGTTGAGCTAAAGATGTTGAGTATTGATTTGAAAAAGTGTAGATTGAGAAAGTTCTTTCTGTGAAACTGACGAGGTTTGACATTGAGTGCTTATAATGGGATTTTCTTGTAACAGGTACACTTTGTTAACGTGGCTACGAGGAACATAAGGAGGAATTTCATCCCTTTATGAAGTTTAACACTGACCTTATTTACACAAAGGCACTAGAAAGAAATCAGAAGAGAGAACTTTGCTTTCAACCTAAATGAGTAATTAAAGTCTGAGGCTGGTGCAGTACCCCAGGGCACTGTTGACGACAGACTAGCCAGCTTGGCTCATCAGCAGGATTTGGAGAGCCGTCAATGGGGGCAGGAATACTTCTCACACAGCTCCTGTTAACACTGTAAGCCAAAACCCTAAGGTGGTCTCGGCTGGACAAACAGTGAAATCTTACCAGACAGTGCTCTCAATGGGAAGCTGTACGGTTTTAACTAGTTAAACTCCAGTAGTCCAAACTCAATGCATCCATGACTTGGCTCATGCCAACCTGTAACTAATACTTTCTAGCACTATGGAATCGCAGTTCATTCGCTGGGAGTAGAATTCAGTAGCTTACGTTCCTTTCCAGCCAAATGGGAGATTTCCTTATTTAGATGGCAGGCATATATAAAAGTATCAATCTGGTTTGGATACTCCCAAGCATGGTGATGGGTTTCTGCATGTATCACATGCCCAGCTTAGTAAAAAAAAATTGCAGAGTCTCAGTCACTAAAAAATAGCAAACAATCTGGTTTTCAATCAAATTTAGACAAGAAGCTTAACGTAGTGAAATGTAAAGGTCACACGGGCTCCAAAGCAGCTCCTCTGCTCTTTTAGTTAGTTTAATGCCATGTAGATGCGTCAAACACGCAAAGCATGAGCCGAACTGTACCAAATAGGTTAGTGATTAGATTGTCCCTAGAAGACTTAATGGGGTGGGGGGGTTGAAAAGAATTAATTCAAGCAAAGGATTCCCATAGTACAGATTGCTTTGCCACAAGTGACTATTGAGGTTGAGAGATCACAACATCTGAAAGGAAGTTGGATGAAGATTTGAAGAGGAAGATACAGGAAAGAACAGAGTAGTTAGGATGAGAGTGGATAGGCCCAGTGGCTGTTATATCATGTGTTTAAGTCTGTATAAAATATGAGAAATATGAAATTTGAGAGAGAATTGTAGCTTATCCCCAATACCTGTATGTTTCATCTATGGAGCTAGTATTGTAACCAAGGAAGCCAGAGCAATATTTTTGCCACGCCACCAAGAAACCAACTCATTATCTTTTGCGCACATCACAGTTTTTTTTTCCCTTGTTCCCTGTACCCGCTCAGCATCTGCCGGCTTATTGATTGTGTTTACCCTGCAGCACACTTAATTGTATCCGCTGACTCTAATTCTGGTATCATGAGCGATGAGCTAAATGCACAAATTAATTAAAGGGCACAAGAGAAAGAATTTATTGATAAAGATGGATGCTTCTGCACTTCTGAGACCAAAATCTAAGTGGTCTTCCTCCTGTTTGAGTGATTAGTGATTTGCTGATACTCGCTTAAGGCAGCAAGATTACAGAGTGTTGGTGGGTGACTGGTCACTAGTTATTACATCCAGTGTTACTGTGCTAGGGTAAGAAGCCAGTATGTTGAGTCTCCATGGTGTCATGTGTATCTCTGCTTCAAGAAACTTTTTTTTAAAACAAAGAACAATACCATTGTTTTTCATGCTGAAAGTGGATCCTTGACTCCTTGACAAAATGAATATAACTTAGGTTGTTTTTAGTTGAAGCTAGGGAGGAAACTGTCAGACTGATGCTGGGTTTATATAGTAGCCCTGCCTTTCACAGCAATACTGCAGTATTCAGAAGTTCAGGTTTAGAATTACATCGGGCAATTTCAGGACAGATACCAGGAAGATTTTCTTTACTCAGAGGGTATTTTAACGACTGTAACAGGTAGGGTGTTTGAAGTCAGGATGCCGGACTCTTTTTTTAAAAAAAACATCTTGATGCTGGGATGGGAGGATGGGAGGGTGGATATTGTGGGAGAATGAGATCAAATGGGCCAAAGGTGCCTATTGATCCAAACTAATCTGATCTGAGATCACCACCTCTTGAAGAGAGTCTTCCTCCTGCTCCTCTTGGGAAAATGGTAACTGGGCAGCAGGCAATCACCGGCAGAACCCCATTCCGTTCCCGGCTGTCTCTGGCTGAGTTGCCCGGGTACCAGATACATGCGTTTTGTTTGCATTGTTCTTCCCGTATAAAACATCCGCAGAGATCAGAGGAGAGGGAGGTTCACGGGTAGAAAATTAAAGCAATGGAGTTCGATCATGCAGTGCTGTTTTTGATGTTACTGTAGATCCTCTGGATTTCACTCTGCAGAGTAAGAGTTACAGCCTCTGGGTATTCAGCATGCTCTTATGTTTGATTCAAACCAGCTTTGAAGCTTTATTTTACAGAATAAACATCCTTATGTTGACTCCTCTCTCCACACACACACACGCACACCTTCCCTGCACCAGCCTTTTCACTGATGTAAATCTTTGTAGACTTGCACCCTCATCTGACCATTCTGACCATTTCAATGATAGTGACTCCAAATATATTTAACTGTTAATTGCGGAAGTCATTCAGGCTTATTTAATTCAATGTTTTAGCTCATATGATTTTTGCTGCAATAAGAGCGAAGCAGGGATAAAATCCGTTTCTTTTTAATGATTCTCGCCACTGTTTGAATGTGAAGCATATCTGTGGATTGACTCGCAGATTTTAAATGGCTCCATTCAGTCCTTCAGCTGCCCTTGGATGTACCTTTAAAGGCGGAACCTGACGTATCTCAGTGCATGTTTTACCCAAGGGAGGTTGGAGAGGACATTGAATATGAAAGCTCTGACCTCCTTCGGGTAAAGCACGAGACATTCTCAGCACATTGTTTTACTGAGTGGAAATAGGACTTGATAGCTGTTGTGGTAGTTACAATGTCAACAGAGAAGCAATGGCTGGGTGGGATTTTGTACACAAGGGTGTCAGTTTCGGCTACATCGTTGCCTTAATATTATGAATTCTTCACCAATGCTATTTACAAGCCGTCACGTTGATGGATTCAAGTTTTAGGCTTCTTTATCAAAAGAAACTCCACTGGAGTCGGAGGTGCAGTCCTTTGGATGAAACATTGAACCGAAAACCTGTCTACCTACTTTGGAGACCGGTGAATATCCTCTGCCACTATTTGAAAAGAGAAAGTTGTTTGTCCTGGTGTCCTGGCCCCCAATCCCCAGATAAAATTGGTCATTGACTTCATGGGTCTTTGCGGGACATTGCTGTGTGCAAATTGGCAGCTGTGGTAAGGCGCTATATCAAATTCAAGGAATGTGTATTACTTTTCTCACCTCCCTCTGTAATATCCCCTGCTGTTGTTCAATTCCATTCACTATAGTTCTGTGTGTCTATGTGTTAATCATTTATCAGCAGTACATTTTACTTGTTATATTTCTACCCCATTTGTGAAATCCCTTTACAATTTTCTTGCTGCAAATTTAAGTTACATTGCTTAATTAGGCAATTTACATTGAAAGAAAGTACTGAGCATAATTAAAATAACGGGTGGAATAAAGGTATTAATGCGCTCAATGGTCAACAGTGGTTTGGAGTAATATCTGCACAGGGAGGGGGTGAAGATCGTTATTCTTACCGTTCCAATTCAGCTTTTTCAATTAGCCAGTTATTTGTTTTAAATAAAAACAGAAGTCACTGGGAACACTCAGCAGGTCAGGCAGCATCTATGGAGAGAGGAAAGTGAGTCAACGTTTTGGATCCACGACCCTTCGTCAGAACTGGGGCATGTTGGGAGGGAGAGACTTTTAAGGGCTAACATAGAGGGGGGGAGGCAGGGCAAGGAAGACAAAGGAGAAAATGGATAGAGGAACAGGGGCTGATGGGTTAAAGAGGTGTTAATGATGTAAAACAAAGGGGTGGATTGCAACAAAACGGGAATAAGAATTAGGAATTAGGAGCAGGAGTAGGCCATTCGGCCCCTCGAGCCTGCCCCGAGATGTTAATAATGCAAAACAGAGTGGGAGGGCGTAACAAAAATTTTGACCTGCTGAGTGTTCCCAGGAACTTCTGTTTTTGTTTCAGATTTCCAACATCTGGATTATTTTGTGTTGCATTTGGTTTAAGTATCTGTTGGTTGAGTGACAAAACCACTCTACAAAACATTAACACCATTTGCATGTTCAAAACTGAATTCCGTTCAATAGCTGTCTGCAAAGCACACATCTCATGAATAAATCACTAACTTCAGTTTCGCAGAGAAAATGCCTGGATAAAAACAGTGCCTTGAATGTTTTTGGTCTGACACATGCAGAAACCCATCAATAACAACTTGCAGTTATTGAGCACTCTTCATGCTACATAAATAATATATACATGTAAGTAATAAAAATAATCAACATGTTTCAGAGTATCCAGAGCAGAATAAGAGTTTCATGTATGCCACCCACACATGGAGATTTCCCCAGTGTTCAGGCCATTTAAGAGTGAAATCAGGAAGCATTTTTTGGTTGAAATCTGGAATTCTCTCCCCCAAAAGGCCGTGGATGCTGGATCCATCCATACCTTCAAGAGTGAGGTTGATAGCATTTTGGTGTTGTATTAACAGGGTATTAAGGGATATGGGGAGAAAGCGGGAAATTGGAATTGAAAGGATTAGTTGAGGTGCAGATCAGCCGTGATCTAATTAAATGGCGGAACAGGCTCAAAGGGCTGAACGGCCTCCTCCTGTCCCTATGTTCCTGTGTCCTATGTTCCTATGTCTGGAATGGAATTGCAGTTTCTCCCTGGAGGGATGCATCTTGCTTACCTAATTCCAGAGATTGTTGGATGCAAGTTGACAAGAATCAAGAGCTTGGGGAAACTCAGAGTGTACGTTGGGAGTAGCTGCTGGCATTTAACCAGCTAAAACCACCTAGCTTGCCATGGAAAGTACTGCCTTGATGTGCCCAATGCTTTACCAAAAGTGATTAAAGAAAGAGAGAGGGAGAGATGTGACTTAAACTGATTAATCAAATGCTTCTGGCTCGCCTTCATTTCAGATGATGGAAAATACGCCAGCAAATTCTGCAAAGGCGTGGGTGGAAAAAGACAAATGGCGTGCACGGAAATAATGTGGCGAAGTTGAAAAGAAATAAACTCATACTCCCTTTTTCTTTTCCTTACAGCTCCCATGACTAATCCACATTTAGGTAAGTGCTTTATTCCTTGCCTGGGTAAAAAACAGGTTGTTTGTTAGTATTGATTCATTCATTCGGTTTGAGGCTGTGAGACAAATAGGGTCACATTTACAATTGATAGCCTGGATTGAACTGGGAGTTGCTTGTGTGTCAGAAATGATTTCCAGAGAGTAATAAGGCAAAGGATATGTCTCCTCCGTCAGAGGATGATGGACAGGAGCTCCAGCTTCACAGTAGATGGCAAGACAAGCTTTGACTTTTCTGCTCTCAAGAAGGAACCTTGAAGATTGAAGATTTCTTCCTTCCCCTCAGTAATGGTTTCACTTGGCTTATTAGACCTTGGTTGAAAGCCTCTTCAGCCTCTAAATGCTATGGCCCTGAAGGAGGTGGTTCATTTCCAGGCAAAAAGGTCCGTCTACAAAAAGCTGACCGCCACACGTAGCAAGTCCCACGCACATCTTTCTGTTTTCCTCACCCTTTGGAACTCCATCCCACAATCCCTTCGCCTTGTTCCCTCTCTTGCCTCCTTCAAGGCATGACTCAAGCCGCCCTCCTATCTCTCTGCCCTCCCGCACCCCAAACCTGCCCCCCCTCCCCACACTCGGGTCCTGAATCCTGATTATTCAGCGCCTTGGGAGGTCCTCCCAACGTGAAAAGCGCTTTACAAATGTAATGTTGCTGTTGTTTTATACAGCTTTCCACTGCACTAGTCTGTGCAAAACACACAAATATATCTTCGAATCAGTTCATTGACAACCAGGCTCATTTCAAAAGTCCTGGCTGTTCTGTTTGTGAATCGCTTGACTAAGTAGGAACAGTTATAGCGAGGACACCTAAAGAACAGCCATGCAACGCAATACAGTTCTGATATGTATCACTAAGTCCAGAGCAGTGAATTACCTTCAGTGTTTTTCTAGGCAACACTTCATGGAAAGTGTAACACAAACTGCATTTTGTTTTATGGTTAAACTTACGCTGCTGTTTTGATAAGATTTTAATTCCATCTGGAACACACTTAGTAATTACAATACGATCTGAGAACAGAATCTTCTGTGGTACATAATTATGATTGTCCCTGCTGTTAGTGCAACAAATCTTGCCATCTGAAAAGCTATTTTTATCGAGGTAAGCGCTCTAACAGAATAACAGTGATGGAAAGATTAGCAGTAGCATAGAAAGGGACAAGATTCGATGCATACAGAAAGAATCACACGGTGAGGGTGGGGGGATTTAATGGAGGAAGGCTGAACAGTGTGATCTATTCTAAGAAATGAATGGGCTGAAATTCCAGTCAGTGATGCATGTTGTGCCTCTAATGGGATTTCCCCCATTCTAATGCTCAGTGCCAAAGGAACTATGTGTAGACTGTAATTTCAACCCATTAAGGACTGCTTCTGGGGGTATAGCGGCCTCTTGAAGTTCAATTGATTTCCTTTGAGCTCCTCATTCCCAGATTTTGATCTTCTCCTATCCTCTCCGATACCGGCATGAAGTACAATCCCAACCATTTTATTGTCCACGTTTTGGTGAATCTGCTTCCTGGGTTGTCAGGAATCAAGGTCATGTCCATTTTGCCTCCTGCTCTTTTATGAGTTTTGACTTCTTCGATTTCCCGTAGACTTGTTCAAAACACGTGAAATGCCAAAGTCAAAAGGGATCCAGTTCCTCTGTTGTCTTTAAGTGTGGTGTTTAATTCTGATTGATCTTCATTATTGTGGTTGAGTGTTCCTCTTTGTGATGAAGTGAATCTAACGGCCGGTGAAGTGTTTTAACCGAGAAGAGAACTGAATTGGGAATTGTTAATTACAGATGAATATAATTTGTGAAGGTACAATTGGTCGGATGTAGAATAAGTCCCGGAAAACTTCAATTTCAAAGGCTGAGAAAAATCAATTCACATTGGGTTGGTTTTGATTAATTCTTAATGTACTGCAAGTGTACTGCGTTAGAAGGTTTAGCCATTTCCTTTCACAACAACTGAATGTCAGGATCAGAAAAAGAACCCAGATAGCCAACGCTGTGCATTTCAACATGGGAAATCTTTTCGATGCATGGTATGGTGTTCTCTGACATACACACTGGCTAAATGCAGTGATGAGTTTATTAACTACTGCAGGAATTAACTGCTGCAATAACTGCGTAATCCTAATTGAAAAAAGCATTTCCGTCAATGGTAATTCAATATTAATCACCTGGAAGGGTCCCAATGTGAGCAACCAGGACAATTACAGGAACCTAATCTTAATTGCATGTAGCGAATGCACACAACTTCTGAGTGAATGCAACCCTGTGTGATGATTAAGGATGCTTGCATTGCTTCAAAGTGGCCAGCTATAATAACTGCTATACTTGAACATTTCTTGTGCGATAATATATATCAGACAAAATTGAAAAACAAAAATAATTAAAGGCAGCGCTTATGTCCCAGAAAAACTAGATTTGATTTGAATGCAGTCGCTCTGTAACAAAGAGATAACTGCATTGGAACCAATAAACTCAGTGGCCCTATGTAATGTGAAGGTAAGAGAAACATCATCTTGGCCTTTGAAAATCAAATTAATACTGCTTCAGTCATAAGTGGGTTTATATATTAAACATTAAAATGTACTGATTCACATTTGTACATGAATGTGTCTAACACATTAGAATAATGTAATAACAGTTTCCAACAAATGCCCTTGTTTAATTTGTTTGTGTATTTGTTTTTTTAAAAAGAATTTGGATCTACTGGGATGTGGGTGTGCAATATTGATAATGGCAACAAAATTCTGTTCAATCACAGCAAAATAACATGCCATTATAAAGATATTGATGTGAATTAGCATTGTGATTACAAAGTTATTAAGGTGTAATGACAGCCTTATTAATGGAACTTAAAGTAAAGTGTTACTGTCTTGTGATTATAAGGCAGTTTAAAATAGCTTGAAAACATGAACACAGGCAGGACCTGAGTAATTGGTGAATAATGAGCTGTTAAAGAGACACACAGTTCACTGAAGAGTCATTGAGCAACATTTCATTCCTTGTGGAACATCTATTAAATCTTAATATGCCCAGGCTTCTCGAGGTGGAATTGACCAACGTTTTAATTAAATTCAATTTAGTGTGCTTTTTCATTACATATTAGTCCCCAAAAAGTAAGGAGTTGGGGGGTGTTGGAGGTGGAAGGGCGTTTAGACTTTTTCCATTTGAAATGAAGAGAAGCTATTAAAAGTGTCTGATATGTAATTGTTCCAAATTGAGAAAAATATCTGAATTTACAACAGGCAGGACAAGTACCTTGGGTTTCAATGGTTTCAAAACGCATTGTATACAAAGGGATGAAAACATAAACCTCATCATACTATAGTAAAACCCTGCGTTTTACAAAATAAATATAAACATAAAGTGTGCAATTGAATTGGATATCCGCTTAACGCTTACATTTGTGTTGTTTAGAATGTAAATGTTTCTATTCTGTATAATACCCTGCAAATCTGGTGCTGATGCTATTCTGAGGGAGGAGAAAGGAGAATGTTCTTTCCATTTCTTTATGACTTTCATTGTCATTGGAGTTCTGTGGAAACCCCGCTCCTTTCCCTTTATAATACTGAAGCTTATTGATGCAATCATACATTGAACCAAAAGTGAGGCTCCAAAGTCAGACTCCATTCCCTACACATCATCAAACGCATGTGACCAGGCCACGAGATCTCTACTAGATCATGACACCACAGGAATGTTTGTGACAGATACACAAGAGCGCTGGAGTTGAACCTTGTGACTCTGTATCAATCCAGTGTCTGCACAGAATACCAATGATGGGAGCTTCACACATTGCTTTCACTGCCTTTGAGACTTTCTCGCAGACAACGTCATTGCTAGAACTCTGCCCCTTGTATTGAGAAGCACACATTCTGGATTAAGCACAATTTGCTGAACTCTGGTTGCATGAGACTAACAGAATCTCAAGCGTGTCTCCATTGCAAACCCAGAAAACATCTCCAGACCTTGTGTCCTCAGCATTCTGTCAGGGGCTGAGTTAGGAGACATCTCCCCTTGTCACAGTTATTTCGAGCTGCCCTGTGACCCCGTATTTTAAAAGAGGTGATTTTTCTTGATTCAGCTTCAAAGAGGACAAGTGCAATGATGCTGCTGCCAGCATCTGCAAACTGAAGATTAATGTCTTACAGTGTGTGATGGTTACAGAGCAGGACACAAAACCAACGCAATACGAAATCCTCTTCCATCTCCTCAGGAGTTCAGATCTGATCTGAAGTCACCGCCACGTGAATATAGCTGCTCACATCATTTGCGAGTGAAAGCAAACCCAGTTTATCTGCGTTGTCGTGCCTTCAACGTACCACTCAATAGCTTGATTTAATGCAAACTAGCGGGTTTAAAATACCAGGAGCTAACACGGGAGAAGACTCACTCAGCGTGTAGTGCTTTATCTTTTATAATGTCACTGACACATCGAATAATACAGGCAATTTCATAGTTAATGCTTTCCACTGAGCGACAGGGACCTTGACTGCTTTGGAGAGAGTGCTGACAGTGTTTTTGCACCAAACCTGATTTGCTTTCTTTGCGCAAAGTTGCTAACTCGTCTTCAGTTTGATCATGGAGCCAAAAGACTATATTCTATTTGAAAGCTCTCAACTGAAAAGCAGTCTCTTAATGTTGAAGGGTCTGGCATTCCAGGATCAATATTTCTTTTAGCAGCATCTAATGGTCTGGTATCATCAGCTGATGACAAAATGCTATAGATAATCTCTTCAGAGTCCCACAGGCTATTACCAGGTAGGAGAATGACAGTCATTCTGATACTCTTTCTGCTGCGTGGATGAAACGAAAAAACAAATAGATTTTACTCAATTTGCAAAAAAAAATTCCACCTTTAAGATATTTTTTCTGTTTAAAATCAAATGTCAAAATGAAACAATCAGTTACTCGGTTGCTCAACACAATGGTCGTTACTCTCAAATCCCTCCTTCCTGTGTGGTCCATTATCTCTTTAAAACATGTGCATGCATTATCAGCGCAGCAAAAGGACTCTTATAATTAAGTATTTAGCAACAAGCTGGCATGAGATGGATGTAGCCTTTATAAATTGCCTAAGAGCTATAAACAATAATAAACCTTGCATTTGATATAGCGTCTTATCACGTCTCCGAGACGTCTCAAAGCGCTTCACAGAATATACTGTAAAGCGAATTGACTGTATATTTTGTGGACGAAAATGTCTTTTTCACAGGAGAATTCAGCTGCGCGTTTGAAGACGATAAGATTTGTGGCTTCACTCAAGACCGGCTTGACAAGTTTGACTGGACGCGGCAAAGTGCATCAACGAGGAACCCCAAGTACACCCCGAATACAGGGCCAAGCACTGATCGAAGTGGTTCCAAACAAGGCAAGTTGATAGCTTTAGCTCTTTAGCTGTGTATGCTGGGGGGGTTCCGGACAGCACTTCACACTGCTCAATGGACAGGAAACCCTGCATTCTCGGCTTGGCTTCTGTGATCATTAGAGGAATCTCTCAGTGAAGGAAGCCAGCAACTTCCTTGCTTTTCTTTTAACTGTAACTGCCTCCTAACAAGTTGCATTTCACCAAACGGTTAGAATTTCCAATATAACAAAAGTTGAGTTCATTTTATCAGTTGGCTACGTGGAGTAAATTACGCAAAGACGTGAAAATCAGTGAGAGGGAGTGGGGGAACCATCACGAGAAAGGTATTTAATGCTTTAATGCTTCAAACTGTTTTGACAGAGAGCTTAAAGAGTAAACGTAGAACATCCTGAAGTAAAGACGGATATGTACGACAGATTAGAGTCAGATTCTTAACAATGCACACAAAACCTACCAAACCTCTCGCAGTTATACAAGGGTTTCACTCTTGTTGTGGAGTAGGGGATCTGCCCTCGGTCCAATAGCACAAAGACAATATTCCACGGAAGGGTCACACACGAAATCTGAACCGATCTCTCTCTTTCTGATTGACACTCTACATTTCCTGCAGATTTCTGTATTTGTTTTGGATTTCCATCATTCTGTCGTATTTTGGAGCTTTCTGATCTCAGCTCGCCAGATGCAGAACATTGAAATCAGTTGTGTGTTTCAGGGTAAATTTGCATAGAAACCACAGCCGGCCACAAGCAGAGTTTCAATTAGTCCGGCAGCGTAATTTTACACAGCTGGCCTCTGGACAAGAAGGAAAAATTTTCAAAGTTACAGAATTTTTTTTCACACGAGCTTTAACAAAATATAATTATCTGCAACTGCTAAAGTAATAATAATAATAATAATCCTTGCATTTGATACAGCGCCTTATCACGTCTTCGAGACGCCTCAAAGCTCTTCACAAGATATACTGTGAAGTGAATTGACTGTTGTACTTTGTAGGCGAAACGTGGCAGCCAATTGAGCACAATAGTGTCCCACAAACAGTCGTGGATTGAACTGACATAATTATTATTGATTTATTTTTTCTTGAGGGAGTATTATCAGTCGTGCGGAGTAAGGAAACTTACCCAAGGTTTCGCCCTGCCAGGAATCGAACCCAGGTCTCTCACTTGCGAGTGCTCTAACCACTGAGCTACAGGACTCCAAAATGAATGGCTAGCTGGCTTAGATCGACTATTTGAATCTACAAAAGCACCTCTCCCTGTAGTATCTTTTGGGCTGATACAATGGGCGGCTAATTCTATCATCTTAAAGCTGCTCTGCTTTTAAGCGATTGTATGTAACACAAAATATCTAGTGTTTAGAGTGAAGAGTCCTTACCAGTCTGAGTAAAAGTTGCCCTGTAAGGGGTATCTCTTGTGCCTTTCAGTTGAATGTCATCTTGGAGACTTCTTTCACCGGCCTTTGCAGTGTGTGACCTTACTACAGGCTGATTTTGCTTGGCCTGTCCTTGCAGTTCTGACTTCTATGTCATTTTGAAATGTGCGAGTGTTAACACAAAGGTCTGAGTGTTAACAGGGAGAGACTCTCACGAGAGAGAAAAGCAACACATGGTGAATTATTGGAGTTTAATCCTGAGCTTTAATGTGATAAAAAGAGATTTAAAAAAAAAAGGCCAGTGCTTGGGATTCTCCATTCCAGACAGTTTATTTAATAAAAGTTATTGTTCTTCAAATATTTTTTGAAATATCTGAATTCTCAAGAGAATGAACTTAAAGGCTAGAGGCGAAATTACAACAACGGTAAATCAATTCTGAAGATCAGCATCTTTAAAAGTGCGTCACACTGCTCGATATCACTTAAAGATAAATAGAAAGAACCTCAATGTCATCTTGTCAACTGACTTCCCTTCTGCTAGTTGTGATGTCAAACAAAGATGCATTGCTTGGGTACCCAGATGTGCAGGTTGCCAGCATGTCAATGCCATTCAGCATAGAGAGATAGGAATTCTCCATAAAGTATAATTCTAATCTAACCTAAGATAAGCTTTCACAAAACACTGAGCAGAGACGAGGCATTTCAACCGAGCTAATTTAACTTGCATTTTGTATCGTGCCTTATCACGCACAAGTGTCTCAAAGTGCTTCATAAGCAATCATTGTCAAGTGTCGGGACTGTTCTAGAAGACAAACACAGCAGCCATTTGAGTACAACCTAGTCCAATGAACAGCCTGAGGTTAATGACAAATTAACTGGGAGGGAGGTTGTCGTTGATAAAATCACGTTTGAAATGCTTTGTGCAGCCTTCCTTGACAAAGAGATTGAAACACTGGAGAGAGTTTAGGGAAGGTTAACAAGGATAATTCTGGGACGTGAAAGTCCTAAGTATTAGGAAATGGCCACAGAAAGTTACTTACAATTGGAAGGAAGAGGATTGATGGAGGGGGGCGGGCATGCTCTAGTTCTTTAAAATGATGAAAGGCATATATATTAGGAAGTAATTTGACTAAACCAAGAGAGTAGATTGGAGCTAGGTTTCAAATTTAAAAATCTCAAACCATTGAGTGGTAGATTCGTACAACAGACTCCCAACAAAAGTAATAGATGCTGCACCCAAACTCCTTCAATTTAAGTTAGATTAGTCACTGCTTGAGAGATTATTAGAGATAATAATAATAATAATAATAATAATAAGAAGAAGAAGAAGAAGAAGAAGAAGAATGCTTGCATTTGGAATGGCACCTTTCACATCAGCTGAGTGCTTCACAGGAAATATAATGAAGTGCAGTAACTGTGTGTTTTGCAGGCGAACGCAGCAGCCAATTTGCACATAACAATCTCCCTCATGGAGTGAAGAACCAGTTTTATCATGTGAAGCGCTTTAAGGCGTTCTCGCAATGCCATAAGACACTATATCAAATGCAGGGATTATTATGTTATTATCAGAGTTAACATGGCTCATTTATCGAATGCATCGAATTTAGTCATCACGTGGATCATAAAATCTGAGGTTCAATTCCCCCCCCACCCACTCTGTGCTGAGTTAGCTGATGCCAGGCAGGCGAGTGTTGGGAGTGCTTAGATTAATCTCATTCTGTTTCAGCGAGGGAGGAAAATGGATCGGCATTTCTGCTCTGGATGATTATCCAGGGGTTGCTATTGGCATTTATCCTCCTGACTGTGTGGACCAAAGTACTTTGGGAGTTTTCACCATATTTCCAATGCCTGAGAGCAGTAATAGCACCATCTGGTGGCACTGTTTTACATGGAATCAGCATCAGTACAATCTCTGAGTACAATGCTTGGGTTTGTCTGTGTTGATTCAATTGGATTAACTAGATTTACATTGGAGGTAGATTTACATTGGAGGTAAAGTTTGAGGTGTTTCATGATGCATTCTCTTGTGTTAATTAACACAGGGAATGGATTCTGAAACACCACAAAACTTTACCTTGCTGCAAATGTTATCTCATGATAACAACAGCTATTTCCTAACAGACGGGAAAATTAACTTTGGCAACAGTGTACTATTTCAAGTTAGCATGATCAAATAAAGTTCGGGAAAGGTCCACAGCACTACAGTTCTATTTATAGTCAATGCCTAACAGAAGGCTTGTAAGCTGCAGTGGAATGACTCTACATTCCTTGTGGCTTTCTATTTATTATGGCGTAACTGGTTGCAAAATTAAGCCAAGGTTTATAGAGATGAATAATGGATGAGTCACTCAATGCTCGTTCCTTGTCTTATCTAAAGCCCCTGAGCACAGCTGGAACAGGGGTATGCGCTAGCATGCCTCAGCTTCCTTGTGAATTAATAAAGGTTTTAAAGCAAATTGTTTAATCATGTCACTCTCCAATATAAAGATGGGAAAGAGATGCAAAAGCTCCCCAGGTGCTTATGTCAGTGGCACCTTTTGCCCCTGGCCACTACTGCCTGGGAGATCTGGGCTGAGACCTTGCAAATGATGTTGCCAGAGAATATGCATGAGACTAATAGCATCCAAGAGAGGGTATAAAACTAGAACAGATATTACAGTGACTCATTGTTTCGCATCACATCACAGCTCATGGCCAGCTATAACCCAAAGCCATGTTACTCAGAAAGCAATTCTGAACTCGATTTGACTGAACACAACCAGCGTGCAATGATTCCTTCACCAACACAGACAGACATTGTGACATTTTCCTTCTAGAAGGTGGGACTGGACAAGTCTCCCAGCTAAAATGGTTCCAATCGAGACGTGTTATGTGAAATACCGATTTGCACCAATATTCTTCAAGTGCCAAAACAGTACTTTTCTGGGTCCCACAACCACATTAGGGGAGGCTGTTTGTCACATGTGGAACTGAACCAGCAGAGTAGAAAATGGTGTAAATTAAATTGGTGTAAATATTGACAATATGAGCTTCTTCTGATCAACCTCATCAAAAGCGTACACCTAATGCCAAATGCCAACATTTGGCATTAGGGGGTGGGTGGTTAGGGGAAGGAATCTGTTTTCAGGTGTGTCAGTGAAGTATATGAAAGTTCTTTTAAATTTCTATAGGTGAACGTTTTATATCCCAGCATTTGCTTCTGAATTTCTTTTGCCAGCTGCAGTTTTGAGGCTAATTGGAAATCAAGGTCTGTATCAGAATGGAAACGAGATCAGTTTTCGAGGTCAAAATTCAAACCAATTTCATCCATTTTAGAAACCGTTCCCAACGATTTTAATCATCTCCGACCCCTCATTTTCTTCGCCATTAACTATGTTAATGCACCATTAGCTAACCAGCTAGCACTGCAAAGCCCATAAACTCTGAAACGTCTTCTAATATCCTTACGGTGCCTATTTCCAGTTCCGAGTTGCCTTTGGGGTCCATTGGTGGCGTTTGATAGCTTGACAGTGACCTTTCTGTAAATGCTGAGTAACATTTTCTTAAATAAAACACAGCCAGAAAAAAGGTGTGCAAAATCATTTTCCGCAGATGGAAATTTCTGGAATATTTCTGTTTTACATTCATTCAGC